AGCTGTATTCCAACAACATCTGGATGGTCACAGATTCCCCACCCCTGCTATAAAATAAGCCACAGTGAATTTTCGCTGAGCCAACCATTTTCTCACTTTACTGGCAGGTCTCACGTCAGTCCAATGTCTTGACTGGAAGAACTGAGGGGCAATATTTGTAACAGTGTACACAGAGCATTTCTTTCAAGATAAACAGATCAAGTATAATAAGACTCAGGAGGAGGGGAGGGGAAATAGTGCGTCATCTGCAATTTCCATTTTTTCCATTTAAATCAGGAACTGATTGAATACACAGCCGGGCTCCATATTCATCTTCCGCCAGTATAAATTACTGGTTTGTATAGTCTAAGCCTCCAGGATAAACATACAATTTCTGAATCACTCATATCCCAAACAAGCATTTCATGCTTTTCTGAGCCACTAAACTTGCCCTGTTTACATAGCCCCTTCTCTCATACCACAACCTATATACAAGCTATCTACATTCAACTGTCATTGTACGAAACTGTTTCACCAATGAAGCTCTCAGAAGCACTGATTGTGCACAGATGTTTGTTCCAAAGATACATTCTTTGTGACTGTGCTCATCTTTAAAAAAAAAAAAAAAAGCTGAATTCCTTATTTACCCCACAAAGCTCCCTTTCTGACTGCGCCCTTAAATCAAATGGGAGTAGCTTAAGGGAGAACACAAATGTCAAAGCAGTCAGAAAGCTGGCCATCTTCCTTCCCTCAAAAAATAATAATCAAAATATTCCAAAATTAGACAACACAGCATTAGGAAATAAAGTCAGAGCAGGAACAGAATGAAAGACTCAGTGGACAGCTCACACTTCCCTGGAGTTTCTCTGTTCTTTCCTGTATACCATCTGTTCACATAAATCCATGCTCTGCCAATTATTTTTGCCATCTCTGATTTATTCAAGCAAACTATTACCTGTTGTAATAATATTAGAGTAGGCTCAGACACATCCCCCCTCCCTGCTGAGCGAGGGGATATTTTCACAGTCACTTCCAGTCTGATCCCATGCATATTTACTCAGAATTGCCCTACTGATTTCAATGGAGCTTACTTTCAAGTAAGTACAATGTGAGAGTGTAAGCCTCCCTGGGATGTTATGCTTTCTCTTTCAGTGGACTTGCCACATTATTCCAAAATATGGTGCTGTAGCTGCTCAGTAGCATTAAAAAGGCCATTTGAACACACTTGCAGACGCTATCCTTGACTGCTACTTCCTACATTCCAGGGCTGAATATAGGTTTTTGGAATAATTTTCTGCTGAGGCCCTGGTCACCTTGCATAAGAAATCTTGTGAAGCCACTAGCGTTGCATTTGGCTAACTGTTCCTAACCCCAAGAACTTTAAAAACCTTTTTCAAAAACCTTAACCCTACCCATTTGGATGCATAGATGCTGAACCCCTTCAGAAACTGGGATAAGACAAAGAAATTATCGCCCTTTGTCTCAGCCTATGCAACAAATTCAAAGCAAAAGAATTCAATGCATTCTGTATCTACAAAACAGCTTTCCTTTTAAGCTGAATCATTCTTATAGCCACCTCCAGAAGCTACTGTTCTAAGGCTCCTGTTTTTTAAGCCAAGGACAGAATTTGATTGAGGTTTGTTTCACATTTGTACTCCATAAATTACAATGGAAATTGCTCTGCATGCTGGAAGTCACGAGTTCAGTTCCTAGCCCATTGGGAAATACTTTCTCCACGAGTCCCCAGGGTTTTAAGGTCTACTGATGAGGCTCTACTCCAAAGAGTATCTTTATGGGGGCTAAAATTATTTTATGTCAGGAGCAGAGCCTTTCCAGTTGTGGCTCTGTAGCTGTGGAATACAGTCTCTCAAAAAGCATATCTAAAAATTTTAAATTGTTTTATTAACACATTCTATATGTATTGTATTTTTAAGTTGTTTTATTGTGTGTAAAATAAAACAACTTTAAAATCCAATACACCCAGTTAATATTTCACCAGATACAAAGAAAAATAAACTAAAAAGGCTATCATGAATTCAATGCCAAGGGTTTTAATAGATAAAGTTCAGTTTGGGGTCTTGCCCTGTTCATCTCAAATGCAAGTGCCTACAATAATCAAAGGTAATGTTGCACCATGAGATAACTTCTTAAAGCTTTTTAAAATTAACATGAAATAAAAAATAGAAACAAATAAATGACCATAACTAAATCTGGGGATGTCCCAAACTCTAAATTCTGTAGCCAGTGCTCTTGGAATTAATTGCACCACAGTTGCTAATTGATGCAACTGTTATACTGTTGGTTACCCATGAAAATCACTTTAACATACTATATTATATTGGGGGATTTTAAGCAGGTTAAGGAATTAACCACGCAACTGACATCATGTCAAAGGATCATTTGTAAGGAGGCGAAAATGACAGCAATGTGGTAGGCAAGTGGGACTTCTCACATTATTTTGTTCAGTGATTGGTAGAAGAGCTGACAGCTGAATTGTCATCTCTGCAACTCACATCAGGAAGAGAAAGCCTACAGGCTTGTCAAAGATACCAGGAGCAGACAGCCTTAAATGATCACACTATTTGCTCACAACCGGTTGGAATGTTACCAACTATCAGGCCTTCTATTCAGGAGGCAGGATGCTCCGTAAGGAGAGTAGCCCGCTAAAACTTCTAGAATTCACATTTCAAGGTGCCAAGCCCTGACAGACTGTAGACTCAGCACTGGTGGTGCAATTACAGTTGAGTCAAAACAATGATGAAGGCTCTAAAACCCCTGTAAAAGGGGGAAAGTATCTCATCTTGAAATACTTCTTTATTCTGTCTCCTGGCCCAGCACTACCTTCGCTGCAAGAGATAACATTTGCAAGCCCCAATATATAGCAAAACATTTGCACTTGCGGCGACCACAAAGCCCATAGCCTTCTCCATCACTGAACATCCTTGTAGCCAACAGCGTGGATAACCAATATGGTGTCCGCATTCCAGCTATTATTGGACTATATCTCCCATCACCGCCACTAGCCGTGCTGGCTGGGGCTAATGGAGTCCAACATATGGACAGCACCACATTGGTTATCCCTGAACTACAGTCAAGTGGCTTTTCCTTTTCTTATTCCCTTTCAAGACTTACAAAGCAGAAGTATAGGACTCTATTTTTGAACATACACAAGGGCAGGCACGAACAGCCATGCACACTTTGGAAGGGAGAGATATCTCCAAAGCAAGGGCGAAGTCTCAAAGATAAGTCTACCCCAACTGAAAAATATCAGGGGGAAGTAACAGACATAAGAGCACAATTAGTATCACCTGCAGTGTCTGCAAATCAAGCTGCCATTATTTATCTGTTTGTTTCATGAAATTTATACGTATACCCCTTGATTGTATATATATATATAAAGTCTCAAAGCAGATAAAACAACAAAATCAAGAAGAATTCACAACCATACTTTCAAACATGCAAAAGCTAAAATACTAAAACAGATTAAAATAACCTAAACTTTGTAAACATCCAGGTAGGTTTGTCTAAAGAATGTTTTTAGCAGGCACCGAAAAGGGCATACAGGAACAAAAAGCTAGCAATCCTAGACAATGCAACATAATTGTTTTGTGGGGACTCTGAAGCACACTTGTGTCACATTGTCCACAAGGTAGAGAATATTTTTAAAGGGTCTATACAAGTGAGATATGCTTAATGGACATTCTTTAAAATGCTGGCAGCTTTTACCAAGACAGATTAGATACCTAATACTTATTTGTGTTGCTACGGTCCTAAAGTTGTTGGGATTATTATTTTTTATTAAAAACCCCCAAAATAAAGGAATTCTGGATGAATTTCAAAACCAGTTTCTATTTGTTCTTCCTTTGTTAGAGCAATGAATCTCGGTTTCTTTTGAAAGACTATAGTTGGGTCTACTAGGATTTCACCACTGTGAAGAAAAGAATGTAACCCTGGATGGTATTCATTTCCTTTCATTGTAGGGTTCCCAAAAAGCCCTGAACCAAACAAACAGAGAAGCAAACCACATTCAGCTTCTCCTACTGATTTAAAAAACTGAGCATCTAAAGAAGTGAAGCCCATCTGCCAAGTTCACCCACATATGAAGAATTTTTGTCTGAGCCTACAAGTTACATTGTATAATCGCAGTGTTTTTCCAAGTGGCCTCTGTTGGCGTCCAGAGGGTCACCGCATGCTTTTGCTCATAATTTCCCAGGGTTTTCTAGCCAACCAAAATAAAGCAAAGACTGCAAGCTTTGACAGACAATGTTTGGGTGCCTCTTCAATAAGGCACACATTCCACAATCCACTTTATACCACAGGAGTCACATTGATTTGTGTAGTATAGATTACTATAGTATAAACATATGGATTGTAGTCTTCAAGCCTTCAAAACAAAAACAAAAAAACGCATGAGTTTTCCAGAGTTTGGGGTTGGGAAGTTCTCCAAAGGACATTCTGGATGCAAGTTCCTACCTTCTTTCATGTCTCGTGTGAAAAATGGCTGCAGGACTGACCATAGTAGAAGTTCTCCATCCCATTCTCTCTGCACAGCCCACACAGATTAAGTATTCTAAGAATATATTTATTCTAGCTGGATATAAATCTGGACCTGTGCACCGTGCACACCAGGTAAATTAAAAAATTAATGCATGCACCCATCATATCTGATGCATATTTCAGTATTATGCTCAAGTAGAAAATGTATCACAAGAACCATTACTTAAACTCCACCAACAGCATGTAAATTCATAGTTTTAAGGACTCTGAGGACAGTGGTCTCATAGCATAAATGATTGTACATCTTGCCCCCTTCTGCTTGTGCCTGCACAGCCATTTTTGAAGGACCTGACAGACAAATCCTGAATCATTATGCTGCAAAATGATCAGGACGAAAAGATTAGCAGGTCTTTTCTTAAGTTTTCTCATTTTTCACATATGTCAGTGGTTCTATCTAAACACAAATACATTTGCTTTCAAGGAAAACATAATTTGTCTTGATATTACAGGGGGGGGATCCTTACCTGTGAAAGCATTTGTGGCCTGAAAGCCAGCTTCCTGCATACTGCTCTCCCAGAAAAGTTTGTGATTCCAGTCTTAACCTGTCCTTTCCAGAGACAGCTTCCAGAGTTGAAGCTATCAAGTCACTTCCATCTTTGCTTGTCAGTGTCCATTTCTTCCCTGCAAGCTGGTATTTGGCATCATCCAATTCCCACCTGTTCCCAGGTCCCTTGAGCCCTTCAGTAAAAAGGATGTGCGTCAAATTCAAATGGTAAGTGCAGATCACATGCCTCAACCGTCCTGCCAGAGAATTTTGGCCACTGTGTCCATGTAAACGAAAGCAGTCATTCCACACATTGTTTTTTTAAAATTCTCTTTCAAACTTTAGTTCTAGTCCTCTGCTCAGAAAACATCACTGGGTTTGCTTGCTTACTTTCCTTAGGATTCAGCCAGATGTGGTCTTCATTTGTCTTCTGTGTTCTCTTTGAGCTTCACCTCCCCCTCAGGCAAGCTGAGAAATTAAAAAGGAAAAAGATGTTTCCTGATGACTTACAGCAAGATTCACAACATTCAGGGAATAAGACCATGTGCGTCTGTGCACACGCAAACACCCCATTTAGTAGGGAGTGATTGCCCACATAAAAGTAGATCCTTAGACGGAAAATACTGCAATTTTGCTGAAATGCAAAATGTGACCACACAACTCTTTGAAATGCAAAGAGAAGCAGTGCTGAAGATGTCAATATGCATCTCTGAACATGATACGATTTACATTTCAAAAGCCATATTTAGTAAGGATGGGGGAGAGAAGTACAATAACAAAACTGGAGTTAAAAGGGAAAAGTAAAAATACTCAAGGCCCTCAAGCCTATTCTATAAATTAATCAGGTCTCACCATTAGCATTTTCTAAAACTCTCTTATAAAATATGACACTATGTACCACCTATTTTTGCCCTTTTGAGGTAAAACCTCAGAGAAAGTGCATATAGCAGGCTAGGAACAACTTCTGTTTTTCTTAAAACCCAAGTTGCTGAAATTATTGTTCAGCAAAAAAATTACCTTGCATTTATGTTGGTTTTTTAAACGTTATATTTTAACCGGGGGCTGTGTCCCTGCTCGCCATGCTCACCAACCTCTGCCATTCTCCCTCTTGCATACGGGTCACTCCCATTTCCATGTCTTCTCCTTTCTCCTGTGGTGCAGCCCCCACTGGGTGTGCACAAACAGGTATTCCCACGCCTTTTCCTTTATAGTTTTAAACGCAGCTAGTTATTTTGCCAAAAGGGACACGGGTGGCGCTGTGGGTAAAACCTCAGCGCCTAGGACTTGCCGATAGCATGGTCGGCAGTTCGAATCCCCATGGCGCGGTGCGCTCCCGTCGCTCGGTCCCAGCGCCTGCCAACCTAGCAGTTCGAAAGCACCCCTGGGTGCAAGTAGATAGATAGGGACCGCTTACCAGCGGGAAGGTAAATGGCGTTCCGTGTGCTGTGCTGGCTCCCCAGATGCAGCTTGTCACGCTGGCCACGTGACCCGGAAGTGTCTGCGGACAGCGCTGGCTCCCGGCCTATAGAGTGAGATGAGCGCACAACCCTAGAGTCTGGCAAGACTGGCCCGTACGGGCAGGGGTACCTTTACCTTTTTAGTTATTTGCCATTTAGGACTCAATGGTAGTCATCTCCTTATCTTGGAGATGTAAGCAGGTTGCAATGGGGATCCAGCTGAGGTGGGCCCCAAACCAGTCTCTACCTTAATCAGGGGAAACTGATCCCCATCCCACCCCCACCCCCGGCCTTCAAAATATTACTGTATTAGAAAACCATTCTCTAGTGTTTTAATTTTCAAGAGGAAAGCATGATTCCCATAAAGCAATCTCCCTCCCCTCCCTCAAAGAAGAAGAAGAAGAAGAAGAAAGGAAGAAAGAAGAAGAAGAAGAAGAAGAAGAAGAAGAGGAGGAGGAGGAGGAGGAGGAGGAGGAGGAGGAGGAGGAGGAGGAGTTTGGATTTGATATCCCGCCTTTCACTCCCTTTAAGGAGTCTCAAAGCGGCTAACATTCTCCTTTCCCTTCCTCCCCCACAACAAACACTCTGTGAGGTGAGTGGGGCTGAGAGACTTCAAGGAAGTGTGACTGGCCCAAGGTCACCCAGCAGCTGCAAGTGGAGGAGCGGAGACGCGAACCCGGTTCCCCAGATTAGGAGACTACCGCTCTTAACCACTACACCACACTGGCTCACAAGAGGCCTTCCTATGTCAGAAGACAAGCTGCACAGGCCTCTTTTCCAGAAGCCACCAATTGCGTTCTGTCTCGTATTACATAGTGGCATAGAAGCACTCTTGAATGTGGGCTGGATCCACCCACTTTTGCTGTTGATTTAAAAGGCTGATGACGGTGACACAGCTTCAGAGCTCATGGTCTAAAGGTTTTTATGACCCGGTCAGATTCAGTTGTGTTTTTTTAAGTGGCATTCCAGGGTGTTGCTGGCTGTGTGTTATTTATTTCCCTTTCATTATTTGTAAAACCAAAGTCTGATTTCAACTCTTGATTCCTGGAATGTCCCAAAGCATCTTTGGCAGGACTTCTGCGAATCAGTATGTTCCACACACCAATTACAACAGCAAGTGAATTTGCTATTTGAAGGAGGCATCTTATTTTAACCAGGTAGAAAAATATTGTGTTATGAGTCCTGGGAAAGTGTGACATCCTTACAATAGGTGTACTACTCTGAGAGAACATGTGCAGACTGTGCGTAACAAATAAGAAACATGTTTAAATGCATTATGCAGAAAACTGCAAATACCTTCCCCAAGGCACTATACTTTAACTCCATTGTTTGCTCACCCCCAGTCTGAAAGGGCTATCATGTTTACAAAGAACCATCACCAGCCTGGTGTACACATGTGGTGGATCTGGTGCCGGCTGAGGAGATATGGAATCCCAACAACATCTGGGGCAACAGATGTTCCCCATCTCAGATTTAGGGGCAACCATATCTCTAATAGTGAAGAATGTGAAGAAACTGGAAGCAGAAAGCAAGAGCTTCAAACACAGCAGGCATCGCTCTGTCAACTAGGTATTATCACCTCTTTGACTGGCAAGCAGTATATGAAGCCCCTGGACTGACTATATGTAATATAAATCTGAGGAACCTGTCTTTGTGTTATTTCCTGGTCAGTATAGCAGACAGGATCCTCCTTCCTGCATTTCCCCATTTTCTAGCTTCTGGACTCACAGACGTCCATGAAGGCACAGGTCAACTCTGTATCCAGGGTGGCTGTTTACCAGTTCCATCTGGTACACCAGCTGAGATCTTGCCTTTCTGCCCACTGTCTCACTAGAATGGTACATCATCTGGTTATCTGCCATTTGGATTACTGCAATGCGCTTTACATGGGACTACTTTTGAAGGTGACTCAGAAACAACTAATCCAGAATATGGCTGCTAGACTGGTGACTGGGAGCAGCCGCTGGGGCCATACAGTGGTACCTCAGGTTAATAACTTAATTCATTCCGGAGGTCCGGTCTTAATCTGTAACTGTTCTTAACCTGACATACCACTTTAGCTAATGGGGCCTCCCGCTGCTGCCACTGTGCGATTTCTGTTCTCATCCTGAAGCAAAGTTCTTAACCCGAGGTACTATTTCTGGGTTAGCGGAATCTGTAACCTGAAGCGTCTGTAACCCGAGGTACCACTGGTCCTAAAAGATCTGTATTGGCTCCCTGTACATTTCTGAACACAAATCTAAGTGTTCGTGTTGACCTTTAAAGCTCTAAATGGGTTCGGCACTGTATACCTGCAGGAGCTTCTCCATCCCCATCACTGAGGTCCAGCGCTGAGGGCCTTCTGGCAGTTCCCTCATTGTGAGAAATGAAGTTACAGGAAACCAGGCAGAGGGCCTTCTCAGTAACTGCACCCACCCAACTGCACTCAGTTACTGCACCCACCTATGGAATGCCCTCCCATCAGATGTCAAAGAGTTGAACAATTATAAGACCTTTCGTAGACACCTGAAGGCAGCCCTGTTTCAGGAAGCTTTCAATGTTTTGTTTTGTCCCTTTATATTTTGCTGGAAGCTGCCCAGAGTGGCAGGGGCAACCCCGTCAGATATAATAATAATTATATTCTCTGGGCCTAAAATCAGGTGTGGCTGGCCACCTACAGACCTACTGAAATAGGTATTCTTTTCTACCTGCATATTCAGGTCAAGACATCACAGCAACAATATTTTAGAGGGCTTTGAGGCTTGAACACACCATGTGGTTCCTGGTTCTAGCCACAGAATACTGACATAGAGAAGCAAGCTGGCTTTTTATGTCAGTTCAACACCAAATTAGTTCGATAGAATATTGCAAGCACTGATGAAGTCAACAAAATCATAGAAACAAGTGCACATCAGCATGTAGCTTTCCTAAAGTCTGCCACTCCAGAAGATATTTTTACCATCTGAGCACAGTTGAGCTCTTGCAAAAAAATAGAACTCATTTATAAAATGCTTAATCATTCACAGAACAGCTTAATGAGCAGACCATGACTGCAAATGTATTGAGGAAATGCTCATAGAAATTCACATCTTCCTGGAAGGTTAGATCAGCTAGTGCTGCAAAAGTCCATCTGCTGTGGCCAGCAGCTGCTCAGGAGCCAAAAGAATCTAGGGAGAAAGCCCCTACACTGTCGTATGCATTACTGGGCAAAGCGAGTTCTGGTTGCTCCTGCAAATCAAACCATGCTGCAAGAATTAATTTGATTTATTTACACTGTCCCAGTAGTCAACATCTTCCATCTGGGCGCTAAATAAAGAAGTGCAAATGTAGAACATTATCCAGACAAGCAAACAGAGTTGAAAGAACTGTAGACGCAATCGGCTGCAGGGTGTTCCTGGCACCAAGGCTCACAGAACTGAGACAGACAATGCTTTTTTTTTACAATTTGGAATTGGCAATCTCCAAAACAAGACTGATATATGCAAGACTCTTCCACTGAAGAGAATGGAAAATGCATTCAATCATTGTCACAGGCAGTCACCTACTGCATTAATCTTTGTTATATAACAGAAATTATATGTGTACTTTCTATCTATAAACGTGTGTATGTATTTCCTCCCCAACTGTACAATCTGATGCATGTTGATTCAGAAATAAATCCTACTAAGTACAAAAGGACTTCAACTGAGATTTTCTTTAACCAACTAAGCCTGCATCCATCTCTAATATCCTTCACAAAAACACACTTGCCCAAAGAAATTAACCTGGAAAGTGCTCCACCAGGGGGAAAAAATCCTTCCATGATAATGATGCTTTTAAAAAGTAAGCTCTGAAGCAAGCTTGAGTAAACTGAATTCAGTTTCTAGGTAGCCTGAAGGCTCAGACAAAGGTATACTTCTTCCATTTTGACTTAGTTGTATGATAAAATCCACACAAATGCACTGAACACTCCATAATGCCAAAAAAAAAATCACCATATTTAGGGCTGAAGGAAACTTTCAGTCACAGGAAAAATAATAACTCCCAATATGA